TTTACGGCTATCTGACTAGTCGTAGGAGCACTACTAGATACAACCGCACAACTAAGCATTTAATAAATTAAATGTAGACCAAATTCAGACACAAATCTCCTACCGTATAAACTTTATCTTTTATATTTATTGCATAGCTCTAATGGTTATTATCTAACTAATCCTTTCTACATGTACAATGTACACCCTTATCTATAATCTTTATAAATTTAGCATTATCTATCATTTTAATCATCTATTTCATGTAATTTAAGTCACTTGAGGCAACATTTTGATAATCTTTTATTGTGTAACTTATGGAACTTTAAAACTATTGGAGATTAGGAGATTATATTAGTGTCTTAAAAACCATCTGATAATAATTACGACTAAAATTGTACAGTATTATAAGAATTATAACTTTAGTACCGGCATTCATTTTATCATGAACTACACACATTGTGTTGTTCATTCCATTTTCGTTGTTTTAATGTTGTTGCTAAAATAAATCATATCCTCATTTTAAGGAAGTAACCATGTAGTTGACAACAGATTTTAGTAGAATTGGCAGGGATCGAATTTGACGGACGCAAACACGCAAAATGCGTGTTGATTTTGTAGACTGCATGTTACAAAATATGTAACACGAAAAAAAATGCGTGCAACATTTTTTCGATATTTGTTACTGAATAACATGATTGTAAAATAAAAACAATACACACATATCATAATTGACCTTTTTTAGTGTTCGACCATCTGCCCTTTCATTATTGTTGTTATATTCCATCAAACAAATTCCGACATTGGTGAAAAATGTACGTTTTATTGGCGAATGGCTTTCACGCGGCACAGTTTTTAATCTTTCTGGATGATAATTAACATAAATATTGAAAAAATGTTTTGCTTTTGATGTTATTTACGATATTTTATTGCTTAATAATGAATAAATACTGTTATAAACTCTTGAGTATTCATTCCACAAGTTTGCAAATGGCACAATACTAGATCTTTGTACGATCTGAGAAATATCTTTCTCTAGGGTTAGGGTTCGGGTTAGGTTTATAAATTACATGTCAAACGTACAAATTGAAGCTGTAACAACGGTGGATTGTGGCAAAAACTATTCTGAAGGGTTAGGGTTAGAAATCTGGGTATAAACATGGAAAGATATTTTCCAGATCGGTCAAGATCCAGTATCGTGCTTGCAAATGCCGATAAGGAGCTTTGTTTACGTCATGTGACTTCTCGCTCACTTTTCCACCCGTTAGCATTATCCCTGTTTCTGTTCAATTTCTATACATCTTGACAAATTGTTTATACCAATACTTTGATTTTCCAAAGGAATCATTGATTTTCAGATTGAAATAGATTTTAATAATGCAGAAAAATAAATAATGCCAACATTGCCAACTATATTTGGAGAGTTCCGGTACACTGATTATCATTCAGGGTCGGACGTGTATGCATATAGGTCCGTGATCCGAAAAATCGCTATTTGACTAAATCAATGGACACTTTTTGACATAGTACTTATGTTTTATAGTTTAATTTACTATCCTTGTATTATATAATGCCCCTTGAATTTCTTCAGAATCCTAGTTTTGCTTGTACATTTGAAATCAACAAGCAAAATTTTGCTTGTATTTTCAAATAAAGTTCTATCCCTGAGAATTGGTGTCATTTTTGATTGTCAATATTATTCATGGAATCCCAAATTAATAATATCTGTAAAAATGGTTATTTTAATATATATGTAATATCAGTAAAATTAAGAAATATCTGTCTATTGATGCTACCAAAACCTTAATTAATTTTCTTTTTACATCTCATATAGATTGTTTTAACTTGTTACTCTATGGGTTAAACATCTTGATAAGCTCAAAAAACCTAAAACTCCACTGCTAGACTAATATCAGGCACTTCCTATTGTGACCACATTACACCTGTCCTCAATAAATTACATTGGTTACCAGTATACAGAAATAGAATAGAATATGAGATTTTGCTTTTAACTTTTTAATGTATACATAATATATGTCCTTCTTATTTGTCAAATATTTTACAATTTTATAAACCTAGTTGTTATTTACTTTCTGTTTCTGATGAATATCTTCTTGTTCAGAAAAAAGCTTATTTGGAATCTCACAGTGAAAAAGCTTTTTCAGTCACCTCTCCCAAACTCGGAAATAAACTTCCATACACTATGTGTACATTGTAGTTTTCAGTCCCTATCCCATTTTAAACATTTGCTTAAGAGACTCATCTTTTCAAAAGCACTTTTAGCTAATCAGAAAACTTTGGAGATCGCTACTATTATCTATTTATTATTATTATTACAACATATTTATAGTGCAACCTTGCATATAACATGTCCAGGGGCACTTTACAAAGTGACAATATAATCATAAATAAACAACAAGATTATGGACATGTTAACGATTATATTCAGTTAAAAGCCTGATTAAATAAATGTGTTTTAAGTTGTTTTTTTAAAAGAATACAGAGATGTACAACATCTTAAACTAAATGGTAGATTATACCATAAAACAGGTGCTTGATAACTAAAAGAGCGCTGACCATATAGTTGAACAGTTTTGGGCTTTAAAAGTAGTTTATCTGATGTACTAATGTTCGGCCAGGTGTATAATGTTCTAAAAGATCTGAGAGGTAAACAGGAGCTAAATTATTTAAACATTTAAAAGTAAGTAATAAAATCTTAAAATCAATACGATATATTAACAGGTAACCAGTGTAAATTATATAAAACAGGAGTTATGTGATCGCATTTCTTAGTTAAAGTAACAAGTCTAGCTGCAGTATTCTGTACTTTTTGTAATTTCTCTCTAAGCTTTAAAGGTAAACCAACTAAAAGTGAATTAAAGTTATCTAATCGAGAAGTGACCAAAGAATTAAAAAGTGACTTAGTGGCCTCTAGAGTTACAAATTTTACCTATATTTCTGATATTTTAATAGCACAATTTACAAATATTATTTACCTGAGATCCCATAAGCATAAAATTTTTAAAGATTGTGCCAATATTACGAGCAGAATAAGATGGAAATATATCACAATTACCAATTACAACAGAGGGGTTATCATGTGCAAATTTACATAATTGATGCCTTGAGCCTAATAACAAATATTCGGTTTTATCATCATTCAAACTTAGTCATGGTAATGGTATTATGAATCTATGCCCGGAGTTTCATCACTCTCACTTAATTATAACTAAAGTTATCGTGCCCCAAAGCATCAACCAATCAGTTTGCTTATCTCTGCTTACCGTAAGCAGAAAATGTTTATCAACGATCTCCATCAAGGCATTGACCTATTGAACACCTACACCAAGTTTAAACATTCTACCTCAATTAGAAGGAGAGTTATTGTGTTCCAAAGTCTCGACCAATCATATTGCTTATCGCTCTGCTTACCCTGAGCAGAAAATGCTCTTTATCGAACTTAGTCAAGGTATTAATGTTATAAAATTACACACCAAATTTCATCACTCTCACTGACTTATTAGAACTAATGTTATTGTGTCCCAAAGCATCAAGCAATCAAATTGCTTATCCCTGCTACCCTAAGTAGAAAATGCTCATCCTCGAACTCCATCAAGGCACTGACCTAATAAACACCTACACCAAGTTGAACGTTCTAGCTCAATTAGAAGGAGAGTCTCTCAGCCAATCAAATAGTTTATCGCTCTGCTTACCCCGAGCAGAAAATGCTCATTATTGAACTTAGTCAAGGTATTGATGTAATTAAACTATACACCATTTTCATCACTCTCACTTAATTAGAACTTAAGTTATCGTGTCCTGAAGCATCAACCAATCAAATTGCTTATCTCTGCTTACCCTAAGCAGAAAAAGCTCAGTCTTCGACCTCCATCAAGGCATTGACCTAATAAATACCTACACCAAGTTTGAACATTCTAACTCAATTAGAAGAAGAGTTATGCCTATGGTGTCCCAAAAAGTGTGACAAACAGACGGACGGACAGACAGATTCTCTGGTTCCAACACCAGAGTGGTCTGAGAAGAAACTCAGAATTTTTAAGCCCAGTTCCCACTTGTCAGGCTGACAACTTAAGTATTGCATAAAATTTCAAATAGGATGGAAAACTGAAGACCAACCATCTTTAATTTCAACTTCTGGAGTGCCAATGTTCAAATGTATTGGATGAAATGTGATTGATGATTTTTCATCTAAACTTGATTAGGCAATAAAACATTTGTTCCTGAACTTTTTTTCATTTGACTTTTTCATTAGAGATATTTCACATATTATTTTGGCTGTCATTCTACAATAAAAGGCTGATTTAAAGACATGATTGGTATAATATATAGCCCTAACGTGTAGAATATTTGCTAAAAAAAATATGATCACTTATCTTTTTCTAGTCATTTATATAATTATTAATTAGGTGTAGTTCATGAATTAAATATCCTAAAATACTATCCAACATAATACATTTAAGTAAATACCTTGTCATAAACCTGCCAATAACAATTTTCCACTGATATACAATATTTACACCTGTCAAAAAGTCCTTTAATGTATACTGTACATATATAATACACAACCTCACACTAAATGTAAATATAATGATCATATATATACCACCCGGTTATTTAAACTTCAAACTTTAACAATGATTGAAGCTATATAAAGAAAATCAATTGATGTCGTCAATATGACTAGGAGTAAAACTAGTGGTCGTCAGATGGTATATTGATTTGGTGACCATGATTGGAGGCAACATTTCCTGTAGACTAATTACACGCAGCCAAGTTACAAACCCCATGTATATCCTATAATAAAACTGTAGACAACACATGGTTCAAGCTTCTAGGTTTATTCTTTATTCACCCAGTTTATTGTGGGCAATCTTTTGAAGATCAATTCTCACGAACAACAATTATGCCAAGATTTCAAGTGACCAATACCACGTCAAAATATGGGTATGCTAAAGAACAACAAACAGTAATAAAAGGTGTTCTAAAAAGAGTAAGCATACCTTGCCTTAACACCTTTCTTTACTTAAAAGATCAGGTATGGCACTGGACTCTTAGCTTAATTGTCTTGGATTTGAATCGCGGCATTTGCTGAGAAGAAAGTTGTGGTTTTTAAAGTCTTGTTCGCACTTGTTAGTGGTTGCATCTGTAGAACCGTCAAGCAATATATTGCCTCGCTGCTCAGACGGGCTGAAATAACAGTTAAACAGGCATTATGTGAGGGCTAAATCAGCAGGTCTTTCTTTCAGCCTTAAATGTTATACAAACTATTAGACATTTATTAACATGTCTATAATCAACTCTCGATGCCATCGGATGGCTCTGATTTTAAGTAGATTATAACAGTTAAACCATGTAATGATTAAATCTTAAAATGGAGAAGTGAAACAAAGACTCGAATGACCAGTACAATGGTTACAATCAATGCACACATCTTGTCAAAACTACAACCATTGATAACTTCACTCAAAATAAAGTATAATCTTTGAGAGAAATAAAGTAATTTGAATGAAATTTTCAATATATTTATTTTGCATTTGGAATATTATAGTGTGAATGGCTGGCTCTTTATCTACAAATGTTACACAATACCCCTTTAACAGTTAAGGTAACCTACTGTGTTAAAAACATGAATGTTAAGACTCTAAAATTGCTACAAATATTCTTTATTTTAGTGACAGTTCTCTACTTACAATTTATATAATGTGGACTTCAATAACAAAACTGGATCTTAAACCTACTGAAGCTAATAATTTCATTTATATTCTAAATTACAACTATAACATGTATACAAACAATAAAGAATATTTAATTATAAACCGGAAATCACTAAGACACGTAAACAAAAGATTAACCAATTATAAACAGATTAACATGTCAAGCTACTTGACTAATCAATGTCCATTGAAAGGTAATTAAATACAGCCTTGACTTTTAAATAACAATATTAAATTTTAATATTGATATAGGTCATTGCTGTATATAATTTAAATAAGTTTATAGAGAATAACGAGGTCTTTTGAATGTGAATCAGATTTGTGGTATGTGCATTTCTTGAAGACAAATACAATATTTCATCATGCTTTGTTTGACAAGTTTGTAACGATAATAACCTATATTATTATTGATTCCTTAATCATTATTAAACACCGCCCTGATCCACATCGAGCCAGCTATAATTACCTTGCCTTTGTATATATTACCAAAAATACGAACATTATGTAATCTCAGGTTGTTGTTGAGTTGTATGTTACTTCATAATGTCAAGGAAGTATTTGTCTGCTCAATGGTCCAATACTTGTATCGGAAAAGAGGTGATAAAATGGCTTGGCTGTGCATTATCATACAAATAAGATAAAAATATTTTATTAGCCTTTATGGTTGATAAAATAAAGCAGGTCTAGTGCAAATAATACATGCACTGCCATAGTATTAATATTCAGCTGCCTGAAAAGATCTTCTGGGTAGCAAAAAGGATGTAGCATGAATTGTCAATGTGTCATACAAATGGTGTGAAAAAGCAGTTAACCCAAAAGTTTGTGTATGACCAGATAAAATACAAATATAAACATTTCTTTTTTATCAAGGAATTTGATTATATTCTAATAACTAATTCAAGAGAAATTATGTTTTTGAATGCATCAGCATTTGATCCTGATTCTACTAGTGTCCTGTATCATTTATTACCTAATTTCTTGATCCACATGAATTGTTTAATTATGAACAGATCCAATTGCTAATTTGCATATTCCTTTTGGGTGTCTGAATAACAGCAGCATTCAAAAGATTTGGTGTAATATTCTGTATCAAGGGGTTTTCATAGATAGATTGAAATCCTCTTAAAGGACAATATTGGTGTCAGCCATTATCACTAATGTGATAGAACTGGTTAACAACATTTTAAATATAATTTTAACACACAGATCATTTTTACGGTAGATACGCAACAGAGATTTGGAGAAACTTTGGACAACTTTTGGTCTTCAAAGGAATTATCAGTGAGCAGAAATTTGACTGTATCTGTTATTGCTCAATACTTCAGTCTGTTATATAGCAGGATAACTCTTGTTTTCCATTTTTTGTGTCACATTTGTTTCTTCAAATTTTAGTATGCATCTATTGTAGCAAAGATCTCTGGGTTAAAATTATATTTGTAATGTGTTTAACCAGTTCTTTCACATATGTGATAATGGCTGACACCAATATTGTCCTTTAAGACCCATGGGCCATTCAGAAGCTTATATTGAAACAAGTTGGGGTTTTTTTTGTTTTTTTTTAAAAAAACCACTAGGGATTTTAAGAGAGGGTAGTGTAGCGTTCACATGTAAATAAGCCAAACTAGTTTAATTATTTTGACCAAGTCGGTTAAAGGTTAGTAGAGTTAATTATGCATGGGCACATGTCCTCATTTTGCTAAGAATATATCACATGTAACTTACAAGGCTTGCCCAATGCTAGACAGAATACGCAGTGTTAAGTTGACCTGTTTGATGGCCCACTTTTTAAACTGGTTTATTCACTCCAATTTTGTGTTTAACTGATTTAAAGACAGGTAAAATATAAGAGGATGTTGAAACTGGGCAGGTCAAATTTCTGAAAGACTGACAACCCAAAATGACAATCATTCTTATCTGTGTTTTGATGTTCTTTATATTGCTTTATTGAAAGGGCAAAATGTCAGACAGGCCTTAAGGCCTAATTGTCCATCCTTCATAAATAAAGATATTATTATCATTATCGCAATGGAGCAGTTCTGTATACAAAGGTCATTGAATTCAGCTTTGATTTGAGCAGTATTGATACAGAATACATTCTCCTGTGTGTAATTTGCTGATCAAACTAACATACTGGTACTGAATATTACATAGCTTGTAATCAACTCTAATCCATACAGACAATGGTAGGCACTAGGCAGGAAATTACATTCAATCAATCGTGCAATCCGAATCCATGAATTAGACATAACCACATCTTCAGATCTGTCTGAATACCCGATTCTGAGTGAAGACTAAAATTAAGCGCCTTATATAAGTGTAATAAAGCGAGTGATTATTGTATTCCCTTGAGAAATTTAATTCTTATTATCTCTTTATCCCATCTTTAAACTCTTCAAGTATTAAAGCCAACTGAATATCGTAGATGGAATCATTGTCTACAGTCCATATTTAATTTGTTTTATGTCTCATCTCTCGACATGAATACAGATCCCTACACTGGATTTAACCCAGTGGCTGGAGGATCAAAGTGGAGTCGAGGGAGATAAGCAACTGACTGAATCAAGTGGCATACAACAACCTACAACTATAAGGTTACATGTTAATCAATGAAACAATCCGTAAGGTATAATCACAGGTACATGGAAAGACCATGAACTCCATTAGCGCAGAGGAGGGGGTTGAGCGTGCTTTAGATCATAATGTATGTCATTAAGTCAAGGGGCGTGGTTTCGATCCCATACTACTAGTACATGGCAAGGAGTAGCATTGTCACATACAAATGCCTAACTTTGTGAGCTTTTGCTGGGTTTTTCAGTTTCCTCCTCTACTAAGGCCCCTATGCAAGCCATTTATCAAACTGTATGATGTTATTCCTGAACTGACCTGCTTTGTGTTGAGTGGACCATAAAATCTATTTCTACATGTATCTATCCCATTAGTGCAGAAATAGGACATGTGCACTCATGCATAATTATCAAGTGCTGACATCTCAATACATGTATGTCAAGACCAAAATGTAGACATTAGTGACTGACTTTACTGTAAGGTATGTTTTTATTCCTCTTCTATTAATCAGTACCAAGCATCCAACATTATCAATACACTATTCATTAGTGAAATGAAAAGAGATGGGGAAAATTCAAACTTCTAATATTCATTGGTATATTATGTTTAGTTTTACTCTGCTTTAGAGTTTGTTTTACACAAAACCACTTCTTTTTTGCAGACAAATAGTGATATCTTTAACAATATTTATTCCAAACCAACTTTTGGATGTGTTTCATGTTCATATTGAAAACAAACAAGGGTCATAACTTTGGCAGTAATTATCGGAAATAGGCTTCTTCGTCTTATGATCTTAAACACTGTGTATAAATTTAAAGTCAGATCAGATTATAATTTTCTTTGTTTGAGGGATCACAAGGTTCTACAAACTGAAACAAGGGCCTTAACTCTGGAAGTAATTTACAGAAATTTTTGAAATTCGACAGGCTTTTTCTCTTTTAGTAATTCAAATAATGCATATAAATATAAATTTCATACAGATCTGGTGATATCTTTTGTCATTCGAATGTTTGAGTTCACAAGTTCAACAAAGTAAAACAAGGGCCATAAATTTAGAAGTACACCTTACCATAGAGATTAGAAAATCACTTATCAGATATTAAACCACATTCATTCCTTTATTTCACTTAAACTATTATGTTGAGACTAAATGTTTTGCTTATGTCAATTAAATACATACTGAATGAATGAATGAATGATATTATAATTGTACCTATTGGAAACATATCGGTAGTTGTAATTTGATCATCAGTTATTAAATGGAAGTATAACAACCACAACTGAGAATGTATATGATAAGAAACAAACTGTATAAAAAAAATCAATATATCGACAATCATGGAACAAAGTTCACGAAATCTCATTATGAATTGAATAAAAGTTTTTAATGGAAAAGAATAAAAGTTTTTCATAAGAAAAAGAACAAAGGCTATTCCAAAGCAAAAATTTCTCGAAAATCCCTAGTGGCTAAGTAGGCAAGATGCTGGTTCGCTAGGCTGGAAGCCTCATGTTCGATCTCTGCATTAGCCGAGAAAGTTTATCAGGATTATCTGATGTGGTTTCCCCTCATCAGTGGTGCAGGACAGAGGGTTTTGACAAGGATAGCTGTTTAGTTGTTCCTATGGGATGGAAAGCCAGTGTCCTGTATATACATAGCACACTGTATGGTGTAAGCCCAGTCGAAGCAGAACAGTAGGACATAAACCCTATTTCATTTCATTTTTGAAAGAAAGCAATTCTAATTAATGAAAATTGTATTTATTATAAACTTTTGATAACTTTCAATTTCAAGTGGTCGACTTGACTTTAAAATCAACTATAAATCAGTCAATACTGATGAAACAACACGTGTGCAATTAAAACAACAATTTTTTTATCAAAAAAGCAGTATTCAGAAAAAAAGTCACA